ATCATTGTGGGAAAATTCTACTACCAGTCCTTCATCACCTTACACGAAATAGGGTGAATACATCTCAAAGTACTGATCCCCTAAATGGATTTCTCTGCGACAGCTAAAAACAAGAAGGTTGTCAACAGGAAAATTCCGGTTTTTTAACCTCCATTGACTTGATCAACATACCCCGCAGGATTCGAGCCTGGAATTGGAGTGTCTAAAGGCAAGCAAGCCTCTTGGATCCAAGTAGCATCGAGTAACAGGGCAGACGTAACAGCATGGCAACACAAGCATCTTGAGACTTAAGCTCTGTAATCTAGTCGCCTTACTATAATTTTTCTTGTCTTTTTTTATTATAAACATCATGGAACAGCGGCATGAAGAAAAACAGGTTTTCTAAGTATTCCTTAATAGGTTGATGTTTGAGTACCTTTTAATTCACTTGAAGAGGCGAGTGAAAGTTAGTCTCACTGCAAGTTGAAGAGGGGTTGCCTTGGAGTTTTGAGTGTAGATTTGTGAAAATAAGTCCTCGACTCACCGTCCCACGATTGCTAAATTCTAGCTTAGCTTCCGTTCGTCATATGATGAACATTGTCAGAGCAGGACCCTATACCCTACAATAATTAACGAAAACACGAACCCAAGAAAGACAAGAAGACGAAAGCTTGGCAAGGAATCAGCGGAATCGTGGAACGGTGAGCCGAGGAATTATTGGCACAAATTTACAATCACAGCCTTGATGCAATCTCTCCTCGAATTGCAGTAAGACCCTTCCATTCGCCTCTTTAAACGAATTTAAAGATACTCCAACATAAAACGGGAAGCATAGTTTAAAAAACAAATTACACTATTCGAAGCAATGAAGACCAAGATAGTGTGGTTTTTTGTGTGGTCGCAGTCTCCTTTCATTGTATAGAAGTTGTTTGACTTTATTTTCGCAAGTTGGTCATGTTGGTAGGAAGACTTAGAGGAACGCACCTAGTCCGGAGTCCATTGGCTGCATGATCATTTCCAAAGTAAAACCGTGGACGTGGTGCCAGCCCAAAAACGTTGTGGTTTAACATTTAACCTAATCAAAGCAAGCAGTACCATAACATTTGTGGGTTGGCACACAAGAGACTGGGGCATAGGAAGTCACAGAGTTAGTATTAGCGATAGAAACAGGATAGACGCGGCGGAGACTGGAATTAGTTGGCTGACAGTAGGTCTGTTGTACCATAGACGTGGTCCATGTAGCAAAGGCTTGACGATGAGACTTACTCTGCGGCTTTAGTCTCGAATTAGCCACCCAGACGCAAAGAGGGCGAATAACGTTTCGAGTAGCACAGATGGGGGGGCAGGGGTCGAGTGAAATACGTGAACCAATGAGAGAGCAGACGGATCTTACGGGGCAAGAGAGAGACTGTGATACTACCTAGGGGAGGAGGACTGCGTAACAATATGGCAGAATTTGATCAACATTCCCAGCACAAGGGTGAAGGGGGGTGAGAAGGCCAGCGTGGAGTGTGGAGGATTCAAAACAAGCACAGTAAAAATTGTACCAGTGAAGGTGTGATACGAGGATATAGGAAATGTGAATAGCCCAGGGCAGATGGGGAGATAACACAATTGTTTAGCTCCACTTGTCTCTTTGACGAGTTGTTGTGTGGTGCTAAGAATGGTGAGACTCGCTGACAATGCCGGCGAAACATCTGAAAATGTACCACGTCCACAGTCCTACTCTGGAAATGATCATGCATACAATCGACTCAGGACTAGGTGCGTTCCTCTAAGTCTTCCTACCAATATGATCAAGTTGCGAAAAAAATGAAATTATTTTTCGTTTATAAGAAGGTTGTCTAGACTACTAGTAGATCTATGAAATGTATTCACCCTATTTCGTTTAAGGTGATGAAGGACTGGCAGTAGAATTTTGCCACAATGATTTGAGTAGAGCTGACGTTTTCATTGAATTTCATATGGCCTTGCTTTCCCAAAGGTTGTTCACATCCAGCCTCTAGTGGACTGCAGTTTCGACCTCGCATCGGTCTTATCAACACCCCCAGCGGAAGTCGAACCATGACAGTGCAGAATGGGAGCTTGATGTGTTAACCACTCGATCACATTGTCAAGAGTGCCCTTGGGTCATAAAGCCGATGTGAATTTCAATGAAGGCCAGTCATTTTGCCATATCATATTCTTTGGTGGGATTGTCGATGTAGCAAACGTATATTTGCTATAACAATCGACTAAGTTACCTATTTTTCGTATGTAAGTATAATCTCGAGACTACCAGTAAATCAGTAATATGAGATTTATTTACCCAATTTCGTTTAAGGTGATGAAGAACTGGTTAACGTGTCAAGCTTCCATTCTACACTGTCACGATTCAACTCCCGCTGGGGGTGTTGATAAGCCCAATGCGAAACTGCAGTCCACTT